TGACTCCTTTGATTGTGAACGATCTGATTGTGAGGGGATGGGTTGACAATTATGACAAAATCCTTAATGTACGACTTACATTTTTTTTTTTAATTATTACTTGTACTGTGTATTTCTTATATTTATAATTTAACTCTTTCAATTTCATCATGCAGGATGTGGATCCAACCAACAATCCATTTGGTGAGCGGTCTCCGGTAGATGCAGACAATGTCTCAAATGATCCACAAGCGCCATCAAAGAAAAGAAAAAGAGGACAAAGAAGAAACCACAATGCCTATGCTAGCAAAAGCACGAAGTACTGGGACAAGGTTTACAATTTTTTTCAACTCAAGAGGACAATCCATAGGAAAAAATGCTGCTTCCTACCAAAGTTACTTAGGGGTTTTGGCACGATCCAAGATCCCAATTAACATAAAAAATTGGAAGCTAGTTGACGATGATATCAAGAATCGTGTATGGAAATGTGTACAGGTAGAATCTTTTCTCATGTGCAATAACCTATATATTTCCTTTTAATAGTGTATGCTTGTAGAACGTAATGCTTATTTTGACTATGATCACTGCATATCTATCACATTAATGCAATATAGGGGCACTATATATAATTGGACACAATGCTTATGTTAAATGCTTATTTTGAACTGATTCTTATTTTTAGACTTTTAATATATGCTCATATTTATGCAATGCATGTAGGCAACGTTTATTATTGATGATGCATACCGGCCGATCAATTTGTGATAAGTGGTGATCATTCAAAAATTATTTGACAAGGAATATAATTGACAAGAATATTAACAACCCAGATGTGTTGAAGAAAAAACCCAAGCGATACCAATGTAGAGAACAAAACCATTGGGATGAGTTTGTCAAAAGTCGGCTTAGTCTTGAGTTCAAGGTAAGATCCCACCTATGCGCATGTATATTTTCATTTTCTTAATTGTGAAAATATTTTTTATCTAAGGCTATAAACATTATTGTAGAAACTACAAGCAGAACAAAAAGCTCGACAAGCGAAGTACCTTTATCCTCATCGAATGGCCCGGAAAGGATATGCAAAACTAGAGGCTCAACTAGTAAGTTTGCTTTCTTTCTTTTTTCTTTTTTCTTTTTAAGTGGCTCTAATAGTGTGAATTATATGCCGAAGAGTTGAAAACAAGGGAAAGTGCAATGTTCTTATTAAGATGTCTCATAACTATTTTTTCTTTGTGGAACAGAAAGAGAAAAAGAATTTGACAGATGATATTGATCCTTCTATACTTTGGAAGGAGGCTAGAAAAGATAGCAACAGCCAATACCTTAATGATGCCACTCGGGCTGTTGTTGATAAAATAGTAAGTTCTGTAAGTTTGAACAATCTTAAATAAATATCAATGGTCTAGGCTCTTAAACCAAAATTAATGCTTCACGTCCTTATAATGTAATTTTTATTATTGTCATAGGATGAGATTCATGTACTCAAGGGGAGATCACTACCACTGGAATGAATGATGTGTTGACTATGGCTCTCGGCACAAAAGAGCATTCTGAACGGACAAGGGGTCAAGGTGGTACAGTTGTTCGCAAGATGTATTTTCGAAAACAGGACAATAACAGTCAATTAACGATTGAACTTAAGAAAGAGTGGGAAGCAGAGCGCATGAAATGAGAAAAAGGCAACAAGTACTTCA